GTAAGTTTTTATATTATTATTGTATAAGTTAATATTTCTAATAATCATTTTACATAGCTAATTTGGCATTTAGATAAAGAAGAATGAGCTAAATTGGCAGGAATCACTTTTTTGGAATTTGCGTTATTTATGTAATTAGATTTATATTTATATATTGACAAGGATCCAAATTAAAGGGTTGAAACGTTTATTTGATTCGATTTGTTATATTCACGTGAAAATAAAGTGTTTTCTGTGCATCCGAATAGCTGATGTAGGCTCTGATGGGCTTTTTTTATTATTTTTGACTGATAGATTCTTTCGAGCCTCATTTTATATATTTGTTAAATAAATGAAATTAAAAAACGTAATACATTAACATCATCATTAATGAATTATATAGGCAGACCGACAGAGATACCAGAGGATGACGTGTACATTTGCGAATCGCTTTATGACGAAAGTAAAAGTTTGATGAAAAAGCTTAGCCAAGACGGTTTAAAGAAGTTCAATCACACGTCGGCGGTAACTGAAGATGAAATCTACTTTTTCCGAAGGCCTATTAATCCTGCTAAAGTATGTATAACAGTTAAATATATTGACTAACATAAATGCATATTTAAACTATTCGGCGAATAATAAGATATGTACTTAGTTCATTCTATGCGACTAACTGTGAAATTATTGCTTTGCATGGCGTGTTTGTTGTAGGTTTCGAGCGACGTGGCTCAGACGCAAAGTCAAGTCAAGTCCATTACGCCCAGCTCGGCTCAATTTGAAATGGTAATTACTAATTACGAAACCTTATATTTTTTGTTTTAGTAACGTACATACAATATGCAATCGCACGTTCCTTCAAGAGATCACACGCAAGCTGATATAGCAAAAGTCTAATCGCCAGTATGTCCACTCGTAAAAAGACGAAAGGCGAAACATGCTTTTCTTTAAATCTAATTGAAGTATTTTGCGTGTGATACAAGTATTTTTGTTATATCAACAGAATGCATTTACACGCATGTTTTCGATCTATATGCCGGCATATTCATTCTTTTTTTGTTTTGTTTATGTAATTATGTGTTAGTATTTGTGTCTCGAGCGGTTTCATCCGACAATTTCAAATCAGAGCACCTGTTGGGTTTATCGCTAGTATGTTATACGAACGCAAAGCACACCACCGAAAGATCTTGCTTCCATGTCATTCTAATCCAACTAATGTAAGAATGAAGAATTCGCTTTGGAGTATACATATTAACTAATCTGTTAATGCAAAAAGTTTCAATTAATTAATAATTGACATGTTGCGATTATATATACGTTACATATTACAATGTACATATGTTGATGGTGTTGAATTGAAAAAAAAAACCGGATGTTACATCAGTTGCATTACATTCGAAAGAGAGGTTAAAGTATATGGAATATGTCGTAATGTAAATGGGAAAATATCGCGATTAGTTGGACGAACGTAAAGAAGGGATGGCGTTCCTTTTATTATGTACAACTTTTTCTACTGGATAAAGTCGCGAAAATATATCTCGTGATCGGTAATAAGGGATAATGAAGGTAACATAAACATAAATAAATGGTGTAGGAAGCGTCACCATTGTTACCGAAGCTGGAACCAGATGTACTAAGCATGGGGGTAGGATTAGGAGTGGGAGTGGGAGTAGGAGTTGGGGAAGACAGCATGGATGCTGGTGGTCCACCATCCGTTGGATCTACGGAAGCTCAACCGGTGCTCTCCAATACTCAGACACCTGTGTCGACTAAGAAGGTAGGCTTTACCGTGACCACTTTATTTTTCTTTTTTTTCATTCTTACCAACTATTGTCACACGTCATATTTTGTTTATTTTACTTTCTTTTTATTTAGAGAAATATGCCAGCATACATACCTCTTTTCGTTCTCTGCACCGTTTGAAGACACCATTTGTCTTAACAATAGATCGACAATTTGATGTTACCTCTGTTAAGAGATGTAAAGGCAATATGCTCGTTTACATGAACACGGTGACATTATAATTTGTGTTTTTTCTTCTGTTTAGAAAACGGCGGGTAAGAAATTAGTTACGGGCTATATTTTGTATTCGAGTAAAATGCGAACGCAGATTACACAAAACAATCCTGAATCATCCTTCGGAGAGATTAGCAGAATTGTTGGCAACGAGGTATTTATTTCTTTTTCACTGTTGATTTTTTAGTTTATTAATAATGGAGTTTCGAGAGAGATGAAGGAATGTATGCAGAATAAACTTTCTCATGATCACATGATGCCTTTGTTCAAGCGTCAAATTAATTGAACAATATAAACTTTGATCATCTTGATATTTATGTGATAAAGCAAAAAGATTAAAAAAATGTAATTGATATGTAAGTCACTTTGCATACACATCGCTAAAACATTATTCAGCATACTTGGTCCTTTATCCAAATAAATTATGTTACATGGCTACTCTTTATTCTTATAAATATAAATGTTTGTATGTACAAAATACAACAATGCATCTTCTTCTTCTTTTATAAGAGTAGTATATCAGCTTCTACTTTTGCATATACATATCGTATTGTAATTTATATTGTCTCCGCCTTGATATGTTATCGTCATTATTCTTGATGTATAAACGTTGTTTGTATTCAGTCTTTTATGAAGAAGAGAGTAGCCATTGAAACAGTTTGTCGAACCACTTTTAAAACGGCAAAAATGGTTTTGCTAATTGCTAACTAATTACGAGCAATGAAACAAAACTAATTACGTAAAACGTGAAACCACTTTCGTTCCAGTGGAGGAAATTGCCGGCGGGGGAGAAGCAAGCATGGGAGGAACGGGCAATTAAAATGAACGAAGACGGTGGTCAGCTGAAGGGTACGACTACAGTAGGTACGAACTCCACGCAGGATGTTGTGTACGAATGTTGTTGGGACAATTGCGACTGGCAGTTCGAGGACATGACTGATTGCATCGATCACTGCATCGCGGAGCAGAATGGTCATGTACAATCGTCGTTTGTAAACGCTCCTAGTGGTGAGTACAATCGCAGCAGTCGCGCAGCATGACACGGAATGATGCAAAGGACTAAATTGTACTGATGTTCTATCAATCTTATAGATGTGGAGTATCAATGCCAGTGGCGTGGTTGTGGCCGAACGAAGAAATCTGTCCCGCCGTTCCCGAGCGTACAGAGACTCGCAAGACATGTTAAGGAAGTGCATATTCTCAAGTCGCATGGACGCATAATACCACCTTCTGAGAGGAGCAGGTAAGAATTTGTCCTCTTTTTTTTTCGTATATCATTTTGTAAAATACGTTTTTATGAACCCTATGCGTTATTTTCTCGCAGAAATTACATGCCTTCAAAAGGACCCACGGTATTGCCTCCAATGGAAACAGGTAATTATATATTATTTCAAACTTACGTAAACGCGATATGAATAAGGGAAAAACACATTTCACGTAGAAACTTTAGCAGCTGCAACTCAGACGAGTAACTTGCCCGCCACTAAACAACCAGAGCCGATGTTTGTCGCAGTACCACCGAGGCCAAGTCGCGTATTGCATTCGGACGCCTATTTGAGGTAGGCTCAAGCTAAATTTTGTGCAAAATCATCTTTGAACATCATACTGAATCGTACTTCTTTCGCTTATAGGTACATCGAAGGTCTAAACGTAGAGAATCGTTACATATCAAATTGGGATAAGCAGATGAACGCCAATCCGGATAATACGCAAATCCCCGATGTGACGAAGTTGCCCGCCGAATGGCTGGGCAATGGCGTTGGAAACCATGGAAATGTGGTAAACGCTTTGTGGACACTCAGAAACATGATGATGCGGGATGTGTTAGCCATCAATAAAACTTTATAGTTTATAAATTGTTAAAATTAATAATTTTTGAACGTGCAAAGTACACGTAACCTACAATACACAGACCCGTCGACGCCAGATGAAAGACTGACGGTATTCGATCGTTTAAATGATATTTATATTTAGAATTTTCTTTCTCGTTCTTCTAATACTTAATTTTACTTTATTTATCTACGTTCTAAGTTTGATGACATATATCTCAAAATATCTTTAGGCAATTCTACAAGTTGACTATGTTTGAAATTTATTTTAATCACTCAGGCATTATTTATATGATTGGCAAGAAATTTGTTTTTTTTTTGCGAATAAAATGTTTACGCTTTTTTTTGTTTGTATTAAATAAATTCTGTTTTAAGTACTTTATACCACATGTTGCATAGAACTATACGATGTGTGTACATAAAAAAATCATACTATATATAGAAGATCATTTTGTAAATACGTCTGCTGATTTTGATTTTTCACTTTTGAACAAAATTTTATACGTTCTGTATAGCGCAAGTAACACATATTCTTGTAATAAGGGACACGAAAGCTGAAACTCTTCCTGTATTAGAAACTTACATAAAATATGAAGCTGCGTATGTATATAGAAAAAAAAACGGAGCAGGTACTGATAATGCAACCGATGTCGTGCTTCTTATCAGTGCTACTTTCATATTCTCAGAAGATGTTGAAGAAACATAGTGAGATTAATCAAATGATCTATTCGCTATTGACCAATAGCCGTGAAAGAAAAGAAAAGACGAAATTCTGCGTTTCGTATGCAACAGTGTAAACCTCGTAGCATATTATTTTTTAAGAATTTTCGATACGATTGGAAGAATTTTGAAAACGTACGTACTGGCAAATACAAAATGAAATTTTTACTACAGTGTCGTGTACATATGTTTCTTGATACGATATATCTGTAGAATTAACTAAACTCTTTTTCTACGTGAACGGTTTAACCGTTAATTCTTTGAAAATTTATTATATATCTTGGCTAAATAAATTTTCGCTGCTACTGGTGTGAGAATATGTTTAGTAATGATTGTGGATCGATTTAAATTCATTTGTCGATGGAGCTATGCATTCGATCCTTTACACAATCATAGTATATGTCGATATTATTAATGATTTAGTTGAACATTCATTTTCTCATTAGTAGCGAGAAATTTAACCGCTTTGATGTATAAAATGTTTGTTATTCTAACATACAGTATTCAGTATTTGACAAAGTGTTGCATATTTTTATATGTATAATGTACTGATAATCTCTGTACATTATGACGTAATTAAGCTTTTTGTGTAGGTTGCCATAGTGCCAGACTTTCGGAAAGAAAGTCATGTGAAGTTAACAATACCAAACATGGAATGTCGTTACTAATAAATTTGTAGTAACTTCTGAAAACTTACTCGGGGGTATCATAGTCCAGCAAAAAAGGTTCACTTTTGTACAATGTAATTTATTACCTCTCACTGATATACAATTTTTGTTCTATAATACAAGAGCTTTCCTTCATATACATCTATACTTATATTATTTATCTAATTTATATATTTTTTCATATCAAGAAACAATTTTGATTTACGTTATTTTACTTAACACTGACCGAAATAATTTAATTTATTTTCCGCGTATATAGTTACAAATGCAAAAATTGATCATTGCAAGTTAAGAAGTAAGAATTCTTTGAAGTTCTTTAAATATATTTATAGAAACTACATTAAAAAATATACACGGTGTTTTCGTTTCAAAAATCACTGACTCTACCACCGTGCTGCCAGTCTCCCCATTTAGTAGGGTCTTTCTCGCCATTTGTTATCAGTTCTCCAGTTCTCGGGTCGGTTTTCACTAATACTAAATCCACGAACCTTTCCCGCGGTCCTACTTCTACGTGTCAAATCAGAAAAAAATCAGCATAAAAATTTCTGAAGTTTTGAGCATAACCAATTCTTTGTGGAAGCTTTTATTGTATCATTATAAAAGGATCTCGTACTAATATCTTTGTGCATTGTATTAATTTTTATTAATTGTTATTACATACTTGGTATCGGTTGCAATTTAAGTTTCTCATGGAATTGCTTCATTCGTGGCGACTCTTGGGTGTTCTCCGAGGACTCAATTAAAGTTTCATTTAAAATCTTCGGTTTTAGGAAAAAAGCACCTAAATGTATTACTCTTTTATTTTTTATATCCAATAAAATGAAGATTATATATATATATATACATATATATATATATATACTATATATAAGCAAGAATAAAAATTATTCGCAAAAATTCATTGAAGTTTGCAAACTTAAAATATTCTGAAGCACCGATACATACTTGTAACAAATCGTCTACAACTTCTTGCTTGTAGATTCGTCAAAATATTACAATTTAAGCGAATCATCATGCAAATATTTTACGAAGAAACTAAATTGTCCGCAATCGTATGAAAACAATGACGTGACAATTTTATAATTTTATTAATAAAACACTGTCGCCAATATGGCTAGATGACTAGATTGCATTGAATATTTTGCCTCGTAAGAAGCAATTATAACATTTTCTAAATGTGATAAATATTTTCAATTTTATTTCGCGTTTACTTCAATTTTTTAAAACTTAAATGTTTTTGAGCTTAAAATTTAAATATTAATTCAATCCTTATATGGTTAACTAGCTACGCTGTTTTAAATTAATATTTTGGATTCATTTAGATAAATTTGTTACATTTCCTAATTTTATTAAAATTGAATTAAAAGATTCGATTGTTATAAGAGATATATATTTATTAACTTGATATCAAAATAAAGGTTTAATCGTATAACATTGTATTTCAAAGTAGAATTGTTTTAAGTTTTAAATATAAATGTTTTGATGACAATTTCTAATTGTTATTGACAAATGGATTGCGCTATTCTCAAACGAGGATGATTCAGAAGTCCGACACACGACCTTTTCTTTCCCAATCGCCGTAACGAGTCGGCTCTGGTCCACGAGGACCTCCGACTTCGCCGGTTTCCGGATTTGTATTGTTCGGGAATGGTTTCAGAGGTTCTTTCTCTTGATAAGGATGCTTGCCCTCCTCCAATTCGTCCAATTTCTCTGTCACGTTCAAAGTTCGATTTCTTTACTGCTTAAAATTTTTTATCTTTGCATAGAAATTCAGGAAAAGTTGCTACTACATAACATACCTATAGGAGCGCGTTCGCGCAATTTTTTCCTGAATTCACGTAATCTCAGACTCTCACCGACCTCGTCTGTACTTTTAGATGAAAATGGACATGCAAATCCTTTTAAAAAAAACATCAATGTGAACATTACAAATGTACATCTTGTTAATTTCAATGGATAGACAAATTCGCCGATGTTTGTTCATCTACAAATTCATACCTCTCATACATAGCCGCAATAATTGACGCGAACTTGTTGAAATTGTGCAATTAATTCCTGCCATTGCTCTCAAATTGATTTCTATACTTCTTGAAAATAAGATCACACCCAGTCGATATATATCTGTTTCTTTTTGACTTCACTGTGTTGTTAGGGAACTTTCGAGGGAAATATTTACATGACATTTTGCGCGGTGAAGATCAGGTTAAGTTCAATTATCTATATATTCAACAATACGATATAATATAATCATTATATAATAAATTATAGATAAGATTGATAATTAAGCAGCTAATTAAGCGCTATCATTTCTATTTATGTAATTGTCTGTTTTTAAATCTTACATCTGTTTTATCTTATATCAATCCTTTTGTCGTTTCTTCCCTCAACTCAGCTGAGCTCAGCGGCCTCAGCGCCGACAGCGCCCGTCACCACGTTCGCAAATGCGTTTTGATGCGTTCCAAAACTTATCGAAAAAAAATATTCGTAGCATAGTATTCCTAGTTTGTTCTGATAATCGAGTTCCCAAACTCACCGAACAAATCTGCCTGCATAATGACGTCATGGCCCGTCCCAAAAAAAACTATCGGCACCTTGACGTCATCAATTCGGATCAGCTGTTTATCTTGCGATCGATGTCTGTTTGATCTGTCCATCTGTCTACGCGCATTGTTTCCCATGGCCGAATGGAAAACACGAAGAGTAACACGGGGTGGAGCTGACGACAAATTAATCGTATATCACGCGCGTTTTAGCGCGTTTCCGAATGGGAAGCTGTTATGAAACCGGAGCGGAGTGAAGTGCGTTTAAATTTGAGGTCCTAGAACGACGACGTTGACCGTAAGGTGAAGACTTTGAGCAAAATTCTGCGAATTGATAATTTAAAAGTACTACGCCTGGATTCGTTTAATCCTGATTAACTTAGCTGTCATAATATTGATAATATCGTATTAAATCGTGTTTCATTCATGTATAGACTTAATATTAATTGAGGAGGAAAGATGGGACAAACACTTAGCGAACCAATTACAAAGAAGAAGTCAGCTTGTTGCCGGGATAGCAATTACCGGGTAGGCAGTTCCTGCATGCAAGGATGGCGCATTAAGATGGAGGATTCACATGTGCACATACTTTCTTTACCCAGTGACCCACGCACTGCATTCTTCGCTGTCTATGATGGACATGGAGGTAAATACTGTGTGGAAGATTTATTAAACAATAGCATAAGTAAATTTTCAAGTAACTGTGTATATCGAGTATATATTTTGTATTCACTATTGTATTCACTTAGGATAATAAGATGGATATTAGAGATATTTGATAGACAATACATAGATAATAAAATAATAATAAATACATATATGTATATGATATATAATACTTACTATATAATAGCTATATATTTATAGGTGCAGCTATGGCGCAGCATGCTGGAAAACATCTTCACGAATACATAATTAAAAGGAGTGAATATAAAGAAGGCGATATCGTAGGTGCGATACAACAAGGCTTTTTAGAATTAGACAAAGCAATGCAGAATAATGCTGCTCTTAGGGATGAACATGCTGGAACAACTGTCATTGCGCTCCTCATCAAAGATAATATTTTATACAGTGTAAGTCATTTATCTTATTTCGGCTGTACAGTAATGCATCTTGATGTTTGAATCCCTGACCACTAAAAAAGCTTTACAGGCTAACGCAGGTGACAGCAGAGCAGTGGCTTGTATCAATGGCAGGACAGTCGCCCTCAGTCGAGACCATAAGCCCACGTTAAAGGACGAGCGCAAACGTATCGAAGCAGCGGGTGGTTTCGTCGAGTACAAGAGGGTGAACGGCAATCTGGCGCTGTCTCGTGCCCTCGGGGATTTTATATTTAAGCGGAACGACCGTAAATCGCCACAGGAACAGATCGTGACCGGTAATAATGAAATACCAAATATGATTCCTTTCGATTAAACTTTTGAATCAAAAAGGATTATAAATCCATAGCGTTTCCCGAGGTACAACAGTTTATCATTGACGAGGACTGGGAATTTGTTGTTTTGGCGTGCGATGGTATTTGGGACGTGATGACTAGCGAAGAGGTAGTTCAATTCATAAGAACGCGTTTAGCGCATCCAAAGCTTGGCGATGGAGAAGCGTCGAACTGCTCGATACATCCCGAGGAGATCTGCGAGGAACTTTTAAACTGTTGCCTGGCGCCGGACGCTCTTATGGGCACCGGCTGCGACAATATGACAGTGATACTCGTGTGCTTTCTCCACGGCAAGCCGTGTTCGCGATTAATTTTGCATTGCCAAAATCCACCGCCTAGTATATAGATCTATAATTGTTTTGAATTGTATAGCGACATTGTATCATGTTTTATCTAAATTATTATGGGCATTTTACTTTTAATCTCGTATTGATACAACTTTTGATATAGATATTTGTTGTGCAATACTGGCTCTATTGTAAAGAGATGAAGCAGACGTGTTTATAAAATACATTATATTTATATTTTCATTCTCGAATCTGTGTTACTTTTACAATGCACTCTTTCATCGATTCATTATTCATAAAAAGTGCGAATATATATATACATTATATATATTCGTGCGCAACACATCCGAAGAATAAGTTACGCGGAAGCTCAATTAGAAGCTTTTATTTACAACTCTGAACAATGGACAAAACTGGGTCCGAATAAGTAGTGTAACAGTTCTCATAAAATGCGATAGATTCCATTTAGAGTCCATAACGATCCTGTATAGAAGAAACTGCTGCGTTCGCGAGTGAACTGAGTCTCCCAGCAACCTTGTTTACACCTTGACGCACGCTCTCTCGGACATCATCGAGATCTACGACTCCGGCTCTTCCCGCAGTCAGACGCATGGATAACGAGGATGTGGGTGAGGTTGGAGAGTTTTCGATGCCAAAATAATCGGCCGATGAGATGCTGGATGAGCCCTCGAATCGGCGTAAATTATTCTTACGTTCCCACTGAAAATTCAGATATCCAAGAATAAATATAGGAAAAGAAGTTCTTTACATGCTAATAAAAAACGTAATCTTAATCCGAGAAATTTTTTTAAAAAAGTTACATTTATAATTTGTTCGTACCGCATTATCGGAAGTACTGTCTTGAAAATACTGCTCCGAACTGATAGCTTTAGCGCTACCAAATTTCTTCTGAGCTTCGCCGCCTTCCATAATAGACGAAATTTTTGTATCGCTCTTGGTAATTGTGCTTCGAGTAGAGGGGCCTAATCGTTTAGGCGGTTCCGGTTCTGCCACGACCACAATTTCGTCGCTGCGCGAAGACGGCTTGCTATTAGCGTAAACCGAATAAAATTCATCTAAAGTAAAGAAAGATTCTGTTTCTCCAGAAAGCACCTCCATTGATGTCACGACTCCTTTCGACTCCTGCGTTATTGTCTTCATGTCGCCAAGGGCGGAGTGAGTCGCACCACTAAAAAAGGAAAAGAAAAGATAACTTATATATAAACTCTTTAAATAATAAATAATAATAAAAAATAAAAAGGACTCTCAAATATTAAAAAATTTAAATCGACGTTAAAAAGGACATATAAGAAAATAATATTCAAGTATTTATTTGAGTCTTATATGTCCTTTTTAACGTCGATTTAGACTCTTTAAACAAATCTTACAAGTGTCTCTTGAAATGTGTTAGAATGAGATAGAGCGCGTATTTTTATTACCTTCGTGCATTAAATCCCATTCCAAGACGTTCCGCCTGTGAGGCTTTTGACGGATCCAGATGCTTCGCTCTCTCTTCCATTTTCTTGGCCTGTTGAGTCAAATTGTGTTCGTACCGCTGAGCTAGACGAGTAGCGAGTTCCTCTTGTTCTTCCTTTGTTACTTCTTTATTCTTTTCTTGCGCCAGTTTATGTGCTTCTGCAACGCTTTTCTCCAGTTCATCAAAATTAGTTTTAACTCTCTGAGCACCTAAACTTCCAGTTTTCTTCCCTAACTGTAATTAAAGAAAGAATAATTGTAATACAATTTCATGTTGCAACTGTTACGTTAATCACGAAACGAACTTACTCCACCAGGACGTTTGGATTGACCTGTTCTGCCGCCTATAGTAGGTTTTCTTTCAGACTGCAGATTGTTTGAGGTAGAATCAAAAAGTTTTACAGAAGGTCCCAGGAAATTAGAGGCAACTTCTGGTGCACTTTTTTCTGTACTGTCATTGCTTGGCACTGTATTAGATGTGAGGAATGCCTTTTCTTCTGTCGGAATTATCATTTCGTTCTGAAGCAAATCTAAATTCTCGTGTTGTTTGAAAAAATCTGGCTCGTTCGTTTCTTCTGACACAATTTCTGTGCCTTCCTCTAAATGCAACTGCAAAAAAGAATAATTAGATTAAAATATGAATGTTTTTAAAATGTTTGGCCAAACTTTACCTTTATATATATTAATGCATATTTGCATGACATTATCACATGCTTATTGTTGTATTATATTGGTATTCAACATTAATACTTAATTTACGATAAAATCTTTCTGCTAATTTACGACTTTCAATGTTGATAATGGGAAAGAATACATTTGCGAACTTATGTTTAATATATTTTTTTGGATAATTAATAAAACATACACCGGTAAAGTTTGTCCAGATATTTTGCAAACACTCGGTACAGATTATTAAATATAACAGCCAAAAGGAACAAATAAGTATTATTGTATATATATTAAAATAGATCATATTAAAACACATATCTTGAAAATATATATGAACGACATACAGTCTTGATAGCGAATTTTATATTGTGATCATAAATGATGGATAGCATTTTTGTAAACAATCAAACATACACATTGGTACAATTGTAGCTTATCACACATGGAGAACTGTGCATCGGTATTGATTGCAATGATAAGGACATATTTAAGTTTAGGAGTAAAAAGCTTTGTCAAGATGTCATAAGTGGATGTTAATAGAATTGCGAAAAAAAGAAGGAACTGATTTCTCAAAACATTTACTCAGCTCACCATTGTTTTATTTTTTGATGTAGGAAGGGAGACCTATAATTATTATATAATTCATAATTAAGACGGATCTAATAATGCCTACCAAATATCATAAATATTCGTTCAATAATCCTACATAAATACCTTTGTATTATAACGACGCATTGCTTGGGCAGATGCCTGGCCCAATTTCTCCCTATACAGCATAGCCGCACGTGATTTATACTTCTGCTGGGCATCGTTTGTGGTGCAGTTTTGTTGTGCAAAAAATTTTCTCTAAGGTAACAGTAACACAAGATGTGAACTTACTAATTTGATTATCAATCAAATTTTTTTTAACATAAGTGGAATTATTAAATGTTACAAGACATCGAAACTAACAGCATTAGCATTACCGCCCAGCTGCATATTCCTCAGCTGCAGCCATGTCCAGTTTGTGTCAAGTTGGGTGGATCTGACGAAGGTGAGATGAACTCCCAGACCACGGTGCACCGCCGAGCAATCGATGCACAAGAACACGCCGTATGTTACACTGGCCCATGCTGGATTCTTTGCATTGCAATCGAAACATGTCTGAAAGAGAAAGACAAAAAGACGTGAATGTAATTTCTTGTAATTATGTATGTTGCATAAAATGTGACATAGTATTTTAAACGTACTATTTTAAAGGATAGAAATAACAGGAAATGGTATTATTTGGACAATAATATACTTGACAAATAGTGTGTTGAATCGAGACATTTACTAAACATGAAAGAACTGAAAAATTCACACTCAAAGACTTTTCCTTGTTGTAAAGGATAAAGATTAAAATAATAAGTAATATCACATTATATCTTAATATTAACTGAATAAATAATGATCCTTTTTACAAAGAGAAATCTGAAATTCTTAGAAAAGGTAAAAATAAATCATATATGAAAGATCTATTTAGATTAAGAGAGATCCTTTTAGTTTAAAGAGTTTATATAATATAATTATGTAATATTTATAAAAAAAATTTAGATACCCTTTTGCTAATCTATCTATACTGCCGAAAGTGTTTCGAAGAAAGGTCCAGAACAAAGGTTCTTTTTTTTGTGTTGTAGGCTAAAAGATTATCAGGATCAATGAATAAGTAAATAAAAATTTGCAAAAGTTTCATTTCAACATTGTTAGTTAGGAAAACCGAGAAAATTAACCGTTGAAGAGTATTAAGCTTGAAAAATATGAGAAATCGTAAAATCCTAAAATTGCGGTACATAACAACACAACTGGAAGCTAGATTTCGCTGGGGAACCGCAGGCTGACAGCGTGACGTCTGCGATCCCGTCGTCCGATCGGTCTGATGGACTTGGACCTCGTCCCGCTTTATTCGCCGTTGATCTGTAGATCGCGATGTTCGCGTTCAACAAACCTTGTTAGTCGGGATAGCTCGCAGCCTCTTGAATATCTCCTCGATGTCGGCCTTGCTGGGCGCAGAATCTGCCATTTTTGACGTGTCGTCAGCGCACGTCACGATGTGATTCTGGGACGCGTGGCGAAAGCTGGTATGCTACGCTCCAGGCCGCTGGCGCTGAGGGGTTCACTTCAGTGACAATGCATTCGGGAGCGGGAACACGTAACGAGCGCAACAAGAAACGTACGAGGGAAACGCACTATATCGCGGATAACGGAGACGCGAACCAGGTCGTTTTACGATCCGCGAGGACGCGGAGTATCTGTGACGTCGCGCCGGACAATGCGCGTTCTACCTTATCAATTGCGAGCGCTTGTATTATAAGCGACCTGCCTTATCGATCTCGCTCTGGTTCGCGTTCTCGTTAATTGCATGATATAATTATTAAAAAATCTCAATGTAAAGTCCGGAAGAAAATTCTTTATTTAGGTCTCGACGTGTTGCGTCACGAGACGAAATGCGCATTGCGAGATGGCGAATGGAAATCGTAAATCTTATACAAATTAACATCTTGTTTGATGTATAAATATCGTCTAATCATTGCCTCCCGATCGGGGAATTGTTCATGTTCACTTTCTCCTCTTCTATGCTATTTAGTCTGGAAGCCCGAAGCAGCAAGATTATTTTAACTCGAGAAAGAAAGCCTACTCGTCCTGTTCGAGACTATAGAGCATTTGAAAGCCAGCGTCCAGGCTGGGTGGAAATCCCATGTCGGGATCGAGCAGCTGCAACGTTGGGACTTCACGGTACACGTTGCCGAATTCGTCGAGCTCTTCGAATTGCAGCTTGTTGGCTGCCTCATCCAGTCTAAAAAAAATTGATGACGAATATTTACACAAAATGCAGCGTACGTCCTGAGAACATTATGTCAATGGCTCAGTGCTGTCCAATACTTAGTACTACAAGCATTAAGTTCAAGTTGCCTCTGTCTCTCCATCATTTCCTCGACTTTCCTCTTCGTGTTCTCCTCGAACTTCAAGATGTATTCCTGGTAGTAGTTATGCAACGCCGATACATCTCCCATGCCTGTCTCCAGCATTACTCTCTCCACGGCATCCTGATAAATACAAAAATTTAACATATAGATAACTATACATTATTAGTTACGTTCAGCAGAAAAAGTAGTTTTGCAACTGTTGTAAGATTCTTTAATATAAAATTAATAGATAAAATAAATTAAATGTAAATATATTAGTTAATAAATGAGCAAAACAAGATTTTACTACGTTAAGATAGCAATTTATTATTATACCTTTAAGATATCTTTAATTAATTAAGGTTGTTTAATAGGATTGGTTTTTGCCTTTATTTCCTTGCTGGATCTAAATGTATAACTAATCATATTAAAGAATCTTACAACAGTTGCAAAACTATTTTTTTTACTGAGTGCAATTATTGTAACTAAAGATTGTATAGCAAAGCCTAGTCAAGAACAATTTTGCCAAAATCCTGAGAAAAAGGTATGTTTTCTCTCTGTATACATACTATCTCATTTTAGCTTATACTGTGTCTTAATTTATAATGTTAATTAAAGTTTTACAAGGAGACAGTTAAGTTAAACTGAAATAGTAATAACATATCTTTCGTATAGGTTTCTCTTCGTTGTTTTGACAAAATTATTTATGGACAGACCTACCATAGAATCTGTAAATGTAACGATAATTGCACAACTCTCTCTCTTCTTACAGGAAATCCATGATCCTTTTGTTCAGTTGCTGCTTTCAACAGAAGAGTCATCCGCCTCAGAAAGTGATCCGCGGCGTCGGTAAGCGTTTCTATAGCTACATCTGACGAGTTTTCATATCCTACATGCGCTAACAAAGTGATTACAGTGTGCCTTAACAAATTTCGTGCAGTTTTTGGCGTTAAGTAATTTATTGTAGAATTATCTTTAAACGTATTCCTGAAACGATACGATTACAGTAATGTGATTGCCTGCGTTGTTGTACAATAATTTAAGCTAATGCAAGAAATACCTTTTTGATTGATAAGGTAGAAAATGAAATAGACTTTTAGAATATGTTATATCTTTTGAATCTTTCGAATCTTTTGAATCTGATGATTCTACAACAGTCATATTCCCAAGCACAGTTCCCTCTTCCTTAAAAAAAAAAAAAAAGAGATTAATATATCAGTATATTTACTAGTAGTATATTATTAGCAAAAGTTTTGTACTGAGAGATCTGTTTAAATCTTACCATTGTACGTAATTGTTGATGAAGATTTACAGTGTTTAATACATGTAGATTTCCCATTGGTAATCTATAACAAATATTAGTGAATGTTTAATAATGGATTAACGCATCATTCCACACATCAACATAGTAAATTATATTTACTGTAAGTATTCAGGTTGCCGATCAATCCGGTAATCACAGTCTATACTGTTTGAATCATCCATGACCTGTCGCCAAACGTTTTCTATTAGATCTGGCGTTATCACTTCCTGTTTAATCATCTCCCTTGCTGGCAACTCGCCCCACAGTCCGCTATTACTTATATTTTTGTTGGACTTCATTGTATACCTGAAAAAAATATGTTGAGTATTTTTACAATTGTTCGTTAATTTGCAGGAACAATTTGAAATGGTACATCCTGATTAACCCTATTAATAAAGGTTGCTTTTCGCCGTTATTGAATTTTATATAGTATAATATTGAGAATGACGTAATGAAGATCGATATGTTTGTTGTCCATTATTAAAAAGTATTACATATTAATTCTAGTATTGAATAACTAGCATATATATATATATATATGTATATTTTAAATATATATATACATAATAACAATACTTATAATGTTATATTATATTATGATAATTATAGTTTATATACATAATTTACATTATGTACATAAGTATATGTTTTAAAACAAATTAAATGATAAAGGATACAAGTCAATGCAGGATGTTAAGTGCTAATAAATAAATTTTAATATTACAATAATTTCAATACAATGTTAAATGTTTCGATCCTCATTAGATCATCCTCTGTAACACATAAAAATATATAAATTAAAAAGATCGTAAATTACAAAAGTACCGAATAACATATTCAAATATAATTTATAACGATTGTATACATGTATTATATGTATAATTATACATACAAAACATTTTTATTTTACCCAATATACAAAATCATGTGTTAGGAGAATACTAATTAAAAATTCCCGCCCAATAATAACACTGCGGTCACGTCACATGCCGTTACATCAGCGTCACATGATGTTTGACGTACTTCAAGTAATCTCGAAACTCGAAAGTGTCATACGCGAGTCCTGTCAAGTTGAGTGTTGTAGGAACCTTTCAAAGAATCAAGCCAAAAAATCATCTCACCTAACGATCGTTCCTAACGAAGAGCTATAACGAAGTATAATTTCTCGCGCACAAGTGATCGTACAATTTCACATTTTTTTGTCAAGGCTGTGCCAGCGTCACACAACAATGGTCTGCTGCAACTAGATAGAGGTTAACGTCACGGCGCGTCGCCAGTTACGACACGTTAAAAAGAATCGCGTCGCGGGGTAAATCTTGTATCGTAGCAACCATAGACGCGGTGAGTATAAACTGCGCGTTCTCATTGCATCTCGCTTTAGAAAGAGACAGAAAACGTTAAGAACTCATCCGTCTTTTTTTTTTAATTTCAAGTCACAATGAAATAGAGACGAAAATCAGTTTGAGTAAATAGTAAACTCTGAAAGCTCTATATAATATACTGAATCGAACCATCGAGAAATGGAAGTGTCCCAATTCCTACTCTCTAAACTTTTAAAATGAATTTCATTTTAAAGAGTGAAATTTCACTCTTTTTCAAGATTGACTCAATTTTCTCTTTTAGCTTACTTTTCTGGTCTGTTTTACCTTTCTGGTCTGTTTTTTTATTCCTGCACTAGACTGTACTCTCTACAACTTCTTTCTCACTTCGACTATAAATATCAAACACATAAATCTATTTTAATTTAAATTCCAAAAGTGTAAAAATTATATATGTTAGTTTAGCTATAGAAAACAGACTTATTTAAATGAGATTCCACTCCAAAGAATTTAGAGATTCTTAAAAAGAATTTAGGCAGTGGATATTTCGTTGCAAAAATGGTAAAGATATGGTTTTCTTTGTCAGAGATTCGCTGATTGGCTAATGTTGTTTTCGTACCATAAACAGGAAAGAGTCAACAACAAATATTCATGCGTTTGCCTTCCTTTTCTCCTTCACATTCGTAGTTTTCTATAATTTAGTACAGGGAAGATGTGTTAGTATATTATATAGAACTTTGGTGTAACTGTATTATTTATATTACAATTTCTTAAATTAAAATAGATGTATAATCAGACATATAATGGTCGCGTTCAGTAGACTCAAAGACATAGAGACTGGACTGTGCTATCCGTGTGTGAAAATGGTTGATAGGGATGAGAGAGAGGGACCGTGGCAGACGGCCATTTCTATCTCTTTCCATTCAATGATGTAATGGGAGAGAGAATGAGAGGGAGATTGGCCGTCTCTCACGGTCCCTCTCTCTCGTTATTGTCGACCACATTTGATACATTACTTAGATACGGATCGCGCAGTCCATTCTCTATT